GATGTTTCGATTCCGACCAGATTTACATCGACGTTTTTCTAACAAGATTTAAGTATGCTAGTGTGGTAGCCCTCGTCAAGTCATGCAGAAATGGATATTTAGTTTTTATTCGATTCATATGCTAAATGCAGCAGAGTAGGCTCAAAAGTTGATTTTATCGAAGATTAGCCTCGAAATCTGGTTATTTTATTCTTCGTGAGTATTCTTTCGAAATTTCGATTTAACCATTGGATAGAAGGATGTGAATATAGATGAACAGAAGACTCATACTAACACTAACACTTATTTTCAAGGGAATGGATAAACTTTAGAGTCAGTTCAATTTTAGTATAAATTGCCATTTTCCCCAAATTTTCAAATCTTTCCAAACAATGAGTTCTAGAGATCTAGTTCTGAAAACTATTTTACATAGACAACTTTGTATACTCTATCTAACAGTTAAATCAAAATTTCGAAAGAACGTTCATGAAGAATAAAATAGGTAGTTTTTTGATAAAATCAACTTTTGAGCCTGCTCTACTGCAGTTAGTCCATGAGATGAATGAAAACCTGACATTAATTTTTATATCAGTTGACAAGGACTACAAGACTAGCATACTTAAATTCTGTCAGGAAAAAAAGTCGACGTAAAACTGTGAGGAGCTGCGCGGAAGTGCTCCTATTCCAATCAGAATATAGAAGACCTCTTCCCATTAATAGGAAGAGAGATATTTCTATGAGAATATGGCATAGTATATTGTGGACGAAAAGCGAATTTTAAAATTTTGGTCCTTTTTTACGGCCCGATGTTGCCATTTGACAACATCCGAGCGAAAAGGGTTAAAACAATAAATGAAGATGTTTCTATATTTTCTTGTATTTATATCATTAGTCATTATTGAAAACTTTAATTGTTGTATTTGAAAATGATACGAAATAAATTAGCTATAAGATAACTAATAAACTAATATGTAGGTTTGTGACCAAAAGTCAAAATAAGAATGCTTACTTGTCCTGTCCTGTCTTACAGGACAGAAAAAGTTATCCTGTGCCCAGCTCTGATATATATTCATATTATTGATGTAATCCTTGTTTACTCAGTTACTATTTTGTCCTCCGTTTTGATAACATATTACTTTATCTCAATATGGTACGATCTTCTTTCGATGATCTTTTTCTTTTAATATGGTGTGAGCAACGCTTTTAGAAATATACTATCGTTCTATATATGGCGTGATCTTATTAGTACATAAATTTGCATGCATATATATATATTACCTCAAAATTTTCCTTTTCTTATATTGTCGTTCTCTTACTGTATCATTTGCATATTTTCAATTTTTTTTTTTTACTAAAAGATCATAGAAAGCAATGTAACTAGATATAATAATTAAGTATTGTTCGTTGTCTTTATTATTATTATTTTTTTTCGTAGGTTTTGGTTTTATTAATGTATCTCGTCATGAAATAGCATTAAGAATTATTGAATTACTTAATAATAATAAATATATATTTGGTCCAAATCGTCGACCAATTGTTCAATTTTCAATTGAAAATCGTCGTGCTTTACAATTAAAAGAAGAACGATATGAACGATTACGTGCTAAACAAGAATTATTAAAAAATCCAACAAATAAAACATTATCATTTGAAAGTAATAAGAATAAAAAAAATCAACGAAAAGATTTATTTGAACAACAAAATAATAAAATTCGTCTTAGTGAAATTATTAAACAACAACAAATAAATGACGAATTAAATAATTCACAAAATGATAATGAAGATTCCATGGAAATTGATAATAAAATAAAATCTATGAATAATTCAAATATTGAAACGATAAAAAATAAGAAAAAACGATCAAAAACAAAATCTAAAGGTGAAATACGAGATAATCTTGATCGAATGATTGCAAATTCAAGAAATAAATTACAACTACCACAAAAAACAAAGAAAAAATGGTTTGAATAATGTTATTTGTTGTTTATAACAATGTTTTTTCTATTTGTTTGTTTTTGTTTTGTATACTTTTAAATACAAAACAACAAAAAAAAAAAAACAACTAAATCATATCTTTTCATCATATATGATTGAAATAAGAGATAGGAATACTTTTGAGTATTCAATGATTTATCAAACTTACTTATATTAATTTCTTTTGTTTTAGATAAAAGATGATAAAATCTATTATACAGTGTCCAATTAATATTATAGTATCATCTTATCGTAATTTATCATCATTAGTAAAACACCAAAATTTAGATTTTCTTGATAAATATGATCCACAACAAGTATCATTACTTTATGAACCATTAATGATTGTTGATCAAAATGATCGTATTATTGGTCAAACAACAAAAAAAGATGCACATCTTTTATCAAATATTGAAAGTGAACAATCATTAATTCATCGAGCATTTTCATTTTTTTTATTTGATAATTCAACATTTCCATCACGTCTTATATTACAACAACGTTCATCAGAAAAAATAACATATCCATTATTATGGGCAAATACATGTTGTAGTCATCCATTATATAATGATATTGAAATAAATGGTATTAATGGTGTTAAACATGCTGTTATACGTCGAATTAAATATGAACTTGGTTATGAATATGATTTAGATTTAATTTATTTAACACGAATTTTTTATCAAGCAAGAAATATTCCTGATGATGGAATATTTGGTGAAAGTGAAATTGATTATATTATTATTGCAAAACATAAACAAAATTCTCAACTTAATTTATTAAATGATTTTAAAATAAATAAAAATGAAGTAAAACATATAAAAGCGATGACATTAAAGGAATGTGAAGATCTTGTTGAACAAGGTGTAACAACACCATGGTTTACAAGAATTGTACGTGAAGGTTTATTAGCTAAATGGTGGCCAACTTTTGATAGACAAGAACTAAATAAAGATTCTCAAGCGTCAGACGAAATTATTCGATTGTGATTTTGATTTTGATTTATTTTATTTTTCTTCTGTATTTTTCTGATTTATCATGACGATCTGTATTTTGCAGTAATAAAACTAATATTCAATTTTTCAATTCATAAATATTTCATCGATTTAAATACAAAAATCAAACAAATTGTGTTGTACAAAACAACAGTGATCACAATAGTTTTGTAACTTATATTTTCAAAATTTAATATTTTGTCACTATAATTTCTATATTCTAATAATGAAGAGAGTGCATGATGATATCGTTCTATTAGAAGTTCTCTCTTCGTAAAAAAAAAATGCAATACTCCAAATATTGGCTATTTTGGATCACCATTACATTACTCTTCTTATATAATGTTGAGAAATATTATCTTTTGATCATCAAATTTATTCATGCGCAATAGATAACAGAGTTCGTATTCATGATTAATAGGTATAGTACGTTTGTATCAGATAATACATTTATGTCAAAAGCTAATTCATCCATAAGACTCAATTGATAACTTGTCATCTTTTCAGATCAAAAAACGATTTCACTAACTTAAAAACACTTATAAACAATGTCTTATCATATCGATACGCAACATAAAAAGATGAGTTCATCCCTTTAAGCACACCTCTTGAACTAGCCGATTTATCCAATATGCATCAAACCATAGATAAAACTCGTTATACTACAATTGAGACAACAATAAGATCAAGACCCGACAAAAAAAAAAAAAAACTTCACACAGCATGATTTACCATGATTGCCGCTTAAGATTATCTGTATGACCTTATTTTTTTCTCATATTATTTTATGTCACTATATTTGTTATCTCATTTTGCCAGAAGAGAACTAAGCAATAGAATAGTATGAGTGTTGTTGAAGTGAAGATCCACGTACATTACTTATTTCTTTTCGATCAAATAATCAATGAAAAATAAATCACATAAACCATCTCATGTCTTATTTATTTTTTTTCTTATTGATAATAAATTCATTGATTAAAATTGTTCATCAAAGAACAATAAAAACTTTAGAAAACAAAATCAACAATTCCCATGACAAATAAACACATAATCATTTAAACATATTAATAGTCTAATCAGTTTGTATTAATGTGCAAAAATGATGATATCATCGTTCGATTTAAGAATGAATGATATTATGCATAAAGCAAGAATACTTCTTACACAATATTTAACAAAAACAAAAAAATGAATCTAATATCACTAACGCGATCTCAATATTTTTTTTTTTGTCAAGTTTTAATATGTTTATTTCAAGTCTTTCTCAATGTCTAATATCTTAGATAGATTACTTGTCATTATGATTTCGATGTGTTCATTGACTAGCCGATGCAATATGCATTCAAAAATGAATTAAGTTAATGATGTTTCAATGATTGTAAAAAAGAAATGAATTTGAATGTTATAATGTGTTTTTGTTCTCAATGAAACAAATCTAGTGTTAATTTATGATGAAAGTCTTGTCAATGTGTGAAAATAAAATCTATTAATCAATCGAAAAATTGACCGTTAGATAATCATCTATAGAAAAAAAAAACAGTTGTGGCTTTTTTTTATAGCACGCATATTCTCTCTTATCCTACATATAATCGTATTTGATTAATTTTAAAAAGAAACGGTTCCGATTGATTATTATTATTATTATTATTATTACGATTAAAATATCAAACATTATTTAGAATGAATAAATAAATATACAAAATTAGTTTATTATATCGATCAAATTTCATCATATTGAAATGTTTTCTAGAAAATTATTTCCAAATGTATTTATTATTGTTCGTTTATTTTTTTGTTTAACATAACAGATGTTTTTCTTCTTAGCTTTGTCTGGTGTCGGTATATAATACAAAAGATCAAATAAATAATAAAATATAGCAATGACGACGAGAAAACGAACGAAAAATAGTCATTTGTTTGATAGACGAAAGAAAAAAAAAAAAAAAAAAAGAAATGAATGAATTCTTTTTCGTCGGTCATTTTCATACTGACCTTACTCATATTCATATACATATATATATATACACATTCTGTGAGAAAAGCAAAATAGAAATGTATAGCGATACTGAATGTACGCGTCGTACAGGAAATTCAATACGTAGTTGTCATTCAACATCATTATCAAATCGTTATATACATGGTTATGGTAGTAACCAAGATTTATCAAAACGTCCACAATTTCTGTCATCACCAACAATATCAGAAATTATTTATAATGGTGAAACATTTCCACTTCTAGCTGAATTTTTACAAATTCATGGACGTGAATCATTAGTTGGATTTTGTGCTATTGTTATTGGTATATCAAATTTAACATTAGATAAACGACAAGCATTATATGCTGTACGTGCTGCTTATAAACAATATATTAATGATGAAACAATATCAAATAGTTGGTTACAATCAACAACAAAAGATTTAATTCGACAACAAATATCACAACGTATATTTGATCCATATAAAATATTTCAACCAGCTATGAAAGATATGTTACAATATTTAAAACAAAATTTCTATTCAAATTTTCTTTCATCACAAATATGGAAAAATTATTTAAGTAAAAAACAACAAGATAAACGTATTAAAGGAAGAAATGCTTCAACACCAAAAAAAATTAATACATCAATAAGTACATCAACTGTTAAATCATCAAAACAACCAATATGGAAAAGAGATATATTAATAAATTTTAATGGAAATAAAACACTCGGTAAGAATATTAATTAAGCTTGCAGGTTTGTTTTTATTATTAACAAAATAATCATTCAACTATAATAGACAAAAAAACAACCAAGTTTCTATCAATTGTCAGTACGCCTTTTTACATCTTCGTTGGAATCTCCATACATCAAAATAGAACATAGATATTTCTGGACGGAATCGAAACTATAACTAAAGATGACTAGTCTCGTTACTTCATTGTAGGGAAAAAAAGAGTATTGACAAAGAAAGACAGTTCTTGCACTGTAATCATTCTCAAAGAGTGGCTGCAAGAGAAGTGTACATTCAGTGATAAATTAAAAAAACCATTCATAAAGTTTTTATAGTTTCAGTGAGGCACGAAAAATCCCAAAAGAACAAGTGCCTTTAGGCTTTTCCTCCTGAGTTATAGCCATTTTATTAGAATTTTAGCCTATAGGACAATATCCAAAAATTCGAATGATGGCACTCCTATGCTGAAAACTTTGCCCACAGATAGATTCACTTATAATTTGAATATGCTGGAAGTTACAGCAGAAAATATTGTTTCCTTCACGAGATATTTGAATTCTAAAAATTACTGATATCCAACAAAAGATAAAAAAATTACCTGTTTTTTGGAAACTTAATGTCTCGTGAAGGGAACAATATTTTATGCTGTAACTTGCAGAATATTCTAGTTATAAGTGGACCTATCTGTGGCAACGTTTCGACTCGGAATGCTACCATGCAATTATTTGGTATACATCGTTCTATAGGCGCTAAAATTCCAGTAGAATGGCTAGAACTCAAGAGAGAAGGTCTAAAAGGACTTGTTCTTTGCAGTTTTTCATATCTCAGTGGGTCCTATTTTATGCACAAAGCACGAACTTTGGAACAGGTTTCTCGTTAGTTATTGTAGCCTGTAATGGGTTATGAAAACTCCGAAAAGAGTTCGTGTCAATAGGTTATTACTGTCAACATATTGCTTTTTTACGATGTTTTTTTAATACAATAGCATGGTTCCCTAAAGAATACTAGGAAAACTGATTTCGAATTTCAACTTTAAGCTTTGGATAGAAACAAGCGTTAACGAGAATAGTTTATTGTGTAAATTTCAGATATTTTCGTTGTTCCTATCTCAAGATAAAAGCGAATTTTTTACATTGTTCACATGCACCTACACATTCGATGTTCTTATACCAAGACAGGAACAGATCGAATTGCTTGATACTTTCACGATTCACTATTCTCGTTAGGGATTATTTCTATGCAAAGTTTTAAGTCGAAGTTTGAAAATCGGTGTTCTTAATAGAACCACGGTATTGTATTAAACAATAATGTAAAAGTGCAATACATCTGCAATAATAAGTTATGGCCTCGAACTCTTCGAATTATGGATACCTTATTAAGATTTCGATGATGTACATGCTTCCGATTCAAAAGCGATTAAATCTTTGACGGCGAAGTCGAAATATAGTAAAAGAGACCTTATCAATATTTGCTGTGTTCTGAGATAGATACCACTGATAATAGTATTGCATGTTAAAATTAAGTCTGAATGCAAGAATTATGATCCCTGATAATTTTCAAATTATATTATGTTAAAAAAAGAATTTTAATTTATTTGTTCTAAAAATAAATCTGTTGTTAAAAGGTTAACCACTTGAAAGATTTTCCTCGTGAGATCAATAAACATGGATAAGATCTACTATATGCAAATTTTTTAAAATCTTCATCTAGTGGATGATCGCAAAGGTTTTAGATAAGATGTTTGTTCATCTTGGACGGACGAGTCAAAAGTTATAAGTTTCGACCAGATTTTCAACGCCCGACAAGGCATCTCAATTTCTATTTTTCGTAAATCCTCATTTTTGAAAAATCGACAAGCATTTTACGTTGAAATAAAACGACTGAGTCAAACAGTTTTTAGCATATTTGAAAAGACACTTATAGAGCAAAGAAAACCGTGTTGGCTCATCATTAAAAGTAACTTTCCAGGTCTTTTAAAAAGTCTTGAACAAAATTCTCGTCGACGGAAACACTTCCTAGTGGATCAAACGTGAATAAACATCTTGTCTAAAAGCTTTTTAATTACTTGTTACTTGTCACAATAATGAACATAGACGTAATATCTAAGGAATTTGTCATTAGTTGCATTATCTATTTTAATCCTATTCATTTCATATGAATAAATTTACATTTACATCAATGAAATTGTTTTTTTGTATTTTTAAAACAACAAATTGATAAATGATAATAATACGAGTATAACATCTTATTCGTTGTTGTTTTTTTTGTTGTCTTCTATATATTATAATGTCTTTTGAACACGTTCTTTTTTAATAATCTATTATTAATCTCATTATATATGAGATATTCATTAATTTTTGTTCTGTATTTCTCATTCTTACCAAAGTATTTTATATTTAATTTATTCTTATAATGTAAAACATAAATTTTTAACTATGATATCGTTTGAAATTCTTAAAATCTAATTTCAATTCTTTTTATGAAGATTTCATTCTAGAACAAAAATTAATATTAAATAAAACCAAAAAAAGGAACAAAAAAGAATCATTTTTAATTAATATTTTTTATATTTTTAAAGGTTCAACAAGTTCAACAACGACAACAATTAAAACACCATTAGCATGTTTTATACAAAATAAAGATGTACCATATATGATTCATTTGAATATGCCTGTTGAGCGTATTACATTAGGTGATATTAAACCTCGTATACATCATTTAGCTGGAAGAAAATTTGATAATCAAACAACAGAATGTCATTATTATTTTAAACGTCGTACTGATCCATCTGAAATATGTTTAATGAATGATGGTATGACATCAAAATCTACATATGTGTATGAAGAAATTGATAATGACGATATTCATACACCTGTACCACATCTTAATGGTACAATTGTGTGTAAATTTGACTTTTCAAATTGATGAACTTTATTATTTTTTTTGTTTTGTTATTATTATTATTATTATTATTGTTGTGATGCACTAGAATGAGCCATGACGTTTTTGTTTTTTGCTTTCTGTGTATCTTCGTTTCCTTGATGAGTTTTGCACAGCATCAATTTTTTCTAATTAAATCCATCAAGCTCAAATCTACATTGTCAGTTGCATAGTATCTATGTGTTTATCTATGTGCGCATAAAAACTAGAGAAAAAAAAAATACCATGACAACGTAGAAAACGCATCTGTTTTAAGCCGATTAGTGACATGCTACATCCTTTACACCGTCGACGATGACTGTAAGGATAAAGAAGATATTCAACATCCGCGCACTGCAAGTTTTATGCAGCCAAGAAAGTAGAAAAAAAATAAAATTTCTTTCCCACATATTCTTCTTTGTAGTCTATCTTTTCTTTTTTTTTCACTTGTTTTTTTTTTACAATGAACAGAATCATATTCAACAAGTGTAAATAAAATAGATAACTTTTTGACGCAGATAGATTTTTATTTTATATTTAGTTTTATTTTTTTCTTTAGTTAATCAGTCAATAGATAAGTAAGTCTAAATGTCACATAATATCATGAACATGTTTATAGAATAAATACAAAATTTAATTTGTTTCATATTTATAAATAAATATCTATGTTTAATTTACGAATATCAATCGATTGATAGACAATTATTTTTTTTATAAGAAATTTTGTTTTGATATTATCAAAAATAAACAATATTTCTATATGGAAACTAGAGATATAGAAAGAAACGTTAAACGTAGCCATACTTTTTCATTCTAATTATATAAGGAAGAAAAAGTAAGCAGAAATCGGCTCCTTTCTTCTCTGTCATTCTCTAATGACACGACACCCACAATTATCTTGGTTGCATATGCTTCAAACTTCGTCATTTTAATGTCACTTTTTTTTTCAGCCACAGACTTATGAGCTAACAAGGAAGCGCAGTAGTGTATTCATTTTATCACATTATCTTTCTTTCTGCTTTATTGTCGATTATCGCGTTCTCTTTTATCTCTAATTTTTTTTCTTCATCTCACACTTTGTGAATAACAACAATTATGTTTTACTGTTACTATTGTCATTGTTGTTCTCATCATTTTTTACGTTCGAATTAACAAACCGAATAGACTTTTCTTATATTTGATGCTGACAAAGTTTTTCGCTTCCCCTCTTCTTCTCTCATGTCATTTCCAGATAAGAAAGAAAACACGGCCGAGAAAAAAAAAGAAAACGAGTTTGATTAAACGATATTATATGCACAGAGGAGACAGGAGATTCATAGAAAGCGAGAGAAACAAGATGGAATAGAATCTTGTCTCTTCATTAGTGTGATTAAGAATAAGAGATAATGGGCGCATGTCACACACACACACATATATATATATCTAAATAAACTATGCATTTCTTAAAGCGATAATCATCATCATCATTTCGGATTTTTTTCAGTGCACAAATAGATGTATCTTATTTCTAAGCTATTAAAAATTTGATCCATCTTGATGATAAAACTAACAAAGTAAGTTTTATATAAAGAAGAAACAAAAAAAAAAGTCTTGTTCAAAATTAGATAACTCCTGTCAATTTAACAAAACTGTTTATTTGTTCTATTAATTATTAAACTATTTTTAAGAATTTGTTTTGTCTTAAGGTATTAAGATTATATAAATCTGATTGGCTTTTTTTTTTTGTTACATGACTTTAATATTTTATAGCTATATTTATGTTATTTTCTTTATTGGATAAATATCAGAAAGTTTCGAGCTTAAAAAAAAAAATAAAAAATTCTTATATAATTTGTTTTCTATTTTATCCTTTTTTTATTTGAGATAATGGATTGAAAAAAAGAGATCAATTTTCTGTACACATGGAATTTTTGTCTAGTATTATTATTATTTTTATATTTATTCCATCGTATTTATGTCTAAATAATTTAACTTATGTATTTTCACATACAGCGACAAGTGATATAAATGTATTAGTAAGTTCGAATGGTTTAATATTAACAAATACAGCATATGTAAAACGTTTATCATCATCGACTGTTGATTTACTTCAATCAACAGAAAAACTTTTAAATGCTACTGATGTTCAATCAATTGTTTTTGGATGGAATACAGGTGATTGTTCATATCCATCAGCAATAGCTCTGAAGTATCCAACAAAATATATAAGTAGTCCAATATGTTTTACTCATGTTTCTTCATTAAACAATATTTTACGATTGACAGTTACAAGTGAAGAATTAGGACAAGCAGCTGTATCATTTATGAATTATTATTCTTTACATTATTTTTCAATGATATTAAGTGATTCGAATGAATTTTATTTGAATTTAGCACAAAAATTTTCGAGTTATTTATCTCAAAAATCTTATATTTTTGAAAAATTAATATCTGTATCAAATTTTTCATCATCATCATCATTAATTTATTCACTAAGAAGTAGAGGTTAGTTTATTGACTTTTTAATGGACAAAAAAAATTTTTTATTTTAGAAACGTCTCGTTCATCTATTATTAATGTTGATACATTAATAGACACAAAGGACTTTTTTTTGCTTTATGAGTGATGAAACAAAGCTATTATTTTACATATACTTAAAGATAGTTATTCTAGAGCGAAGCTGATGTGTTCAAAATTACGCGCTATTGATCAGTGTACTACAGAGATCGGATCAGTTTGACTTGAACTTTTACAAAAGAAAAGAAAGAATATCCGTGCCTTTCAGCTACTTGATGGAATGGGATGTTGGGTGTTCGCAGATTCAGTAGCTTGAGATTTTCCCTACAATTAATTCCAGATGTAGCTCTGAACAGAAGACCGACTTGACACAGAGTTCTTACTCTAAACTGTTTGAACTCTTTCTACACACTAACTAACCACATACCAATCACAAGAGAAAGTGTATGTCTCATAATGTAATCAGCATGCTATCGAATGGAGATGATTCAACACAAATAGTCGCTAGTGACTTGTCCAAGGAGGAGCCCGTCTGATTAGGTTCGTATCCGAAAACCTGGATCCAGTGCACTAGTCACCGAATACAAAAAACCTGAAAAAAAAAACGTCTCTTATTTTTGATTAAAAAATTTCATTGAGAGTATCAAAGTACAGTTCGACTGAGTCCGGATCCAAAAATGTTGATCCCTACGAGCTCTAGTCCAGGGCCATTCCATGACTGATGATAATGATATTTCAACTCAAAAGACACGACGCGAACCGATCCCACGGATTACATGAATTTTGGCTCGGGCCAAAATTCATCTCATCAATTCCTTCAAAAAAAAAGGCATATTTCTATAATCAGTTGATACACTTCGTACTGTTGAGCAGTCTACTTGGATTCATATTAGAAGTGTTCTAGTCTTAAGAGATAACTATTAGTTCTCCGCAACGAGTGTCAAAATAAAACAAAATGTCATATGCTGAACAGGATATCATAACTATAATGTGATCTAAAATCACACTGCTACGCACTATGCCGTCCTACTTAGCATTACGGAAATGTGCTAACGATTCATTGAAGCTAGACTATATTTTATGAGTAGCAGTAAGATGAATTTTCTCCCGGAATGAAACGTCGCCGGGATTTGGGGTCGAGCCGAAATTCTAGCCTCCCGATCCTATGTCTCGTTTGGTATAAATAATATGCTAAGTGGATAGTTGTCGATGAAATAATGATTAAAAAACGACAAAAATGTGTAGTTTTTGGAATTAATTTTCAAGATTGATTCGATGTCGATCTAAATAAATGTTTACCGATTAGAATCAAATCAAAATGTTTTATTAGTTATGTCTGGATAAAGAATTGTTTATTGATGCAGTCTAGATTGAGAATTTTTCTATAAACTATATTCGAATGTTGGAATTTTTATTGATCGAATCTAAACTTGAACAAATCATTTAATCAATTTTTCTGTGTAAAAAAAAATCAAAATTTAATGACTAATCTAAGTTCTTATTATAGACTTCAATATTAATTGTTTAATCATTCTTTTAACAAATAATAAATTGATTTCGAATGATTTTCTTTTCTCTAGTCTTTTTTATAATATGTTCATATGATGAAGAAACCTCACTCTATCCAATTATTTCATCTTCTTATCAATCAGTATCGTCAACAATGAGAAATGTTATTTTTATATTTATTCGTTGGTCACATCATTTTGTTAGTTTTTATACTACACAATTTTTACCTAATGTAACATTATATGGACCATCATATATTCCTATTCTTCATCTATTACCAATGGACAGTAGTATGACAAATAATTTAGATGATATGATTTCAACGTATGAACAAGACATATTTAATCCTACATCAAATATGACATTTTCTGATGATGTAAGTTGTTGTTTTTTTTTATTTGTAGAAATTTAATTTATTTTGCTTCTTTCTTTTTTTTTTAATGTTTCTTTCGAAGATTATTTTTATTTTGAGTGAACTTGAAAGTGTTGATTTATTACGACAAATATCAATAATAGATTTTCCATTAACAAATCGATCAACTATGTTTGGTCAAATTACATTTGATAGTAATCAACAACGTTCATTTATTTATTCATTAATTGGTCGACAATGTAATGGTAGTTGGGCTATTTTAAAATCTATTGATTCAGTATTAATAAATGTTAATACTAATTTAAATGTATGTATTAGTTATTCATTTGTTGATACAATAACAACGATAACACCAGAAGATAGCGGTATGTATAAATTTACAGTGACTCGAAAAAAATTGATCATATTGATTTAATTTCGAGTTTTTTGTCTATAATGATAATTAATATAAAGAATCCAAAGAGAAATTTGTTTCGAACAAAGACTTGAATCCTCACAAAATTCAAGGCCTCTAAAAGAAACTCTAAATCTAGTTTTTTTTTTATAGTACTCAGAACTTGAAAATAAATTACATAGGGTTTAAGAAAAGTTCAGAAGTGATATTTTCGTCATTTTCTATCAGAGTTCTAAATGAACCGTCCGATCCGAACTTTATTTCTTTTTTTAACGAAGATTTCCCATGTAATAAAAACAAAGAATCTAATTTGAATGGATTTGATTCTAATTTTTCGTCAAAATTTCTTACATAGATTTTGCATCTCACTATTGATAACAATCAGAAATCTTTATTATGTGAACGTTTCAGAAGTTTCATTTAGCTAATAAGTAAAAGCCAAGTACACTATCAATTGACAGACGTTTTACGTGTGAACGCTTATATTAATAAGTGATAGTCTTCAAGAAGTTGAAGTATTTACGAATGCATCTTAGTCTTTCGATCTATCTCTCGTGCTATTTTTTTTTCAAGCATATTGAACTTATGATCAATATGATAATAAACTTTGTACAATGTTTTCATAAATGGCTGAACTGATTGTTGAGTTTCATCGTGTAGAAATCCTTCTTGTAAAAGAAATATTCTTTTAATAGTACCATTCTAAGTTGGATCGGACTATCAAAAGCTGATCCGATTTCGAGATCTGTTTCCTATGAGAAAAAGAGCTTTTATGTTTTTCCTAAAATTGATATAATTCAGTTGACGTGTGTCGTAGAGAGTTCGTAGATATCGCATTTTCTAGAGAATTTGTTGTATCAGCCTGTGTAATTTATTTTTGGATTCTGAGTATTGTAAAAATTTTATTTCCTTCAAATCTTTGTTGGAAATGAATCTAATCTATGTAAATTACTATTTGAAGTTACTATCATTACGAAGAAAAAAAATTAAAATTCAATCTGTATGATCATTTTTTTTGGAGCTATTCTAATTAGAGAAAAAACTAAAAAATGATGATTTTTTGGTGTTTTTTTAACTGTATTCTAGGTTGGCGCATTCTTCGTATTGCACTTTTTACATTATTGGGTGTAGCTCTTGCATGTGCTGCTGGACTTATTGCTTTCTTTATCGTCCGGTAAGTAAAAAAGAAAAAAAAAAAAAAAAAAAAAAAACTTATTCTTACTTAGAAATCAACGTAATCGTAAACAATTTTCTAAAGGTCCAAATAAAATTATATTATTACCCGATGATTTAATGTTTGTTATGCCAAAAGGTTCAATATTTACAAGCAAAGTTTGTACAAAAAAAAAAATTTTTTTTTTTTTCACAATTTATTGTTTTTTTGTTTGATTATATAAAAAAAGGTTAATTTAAAAAATGAGCCACATGAACGTAGTAATGTATCTATACGTAGTGAAGAAATTCAAGCAGGAAAAACAGCTCGTTATAATGTAAATTATTTTCAATAAAAATTAAAGATTTTAATTTGAATATATATATATGTATATTTATATACAGGGTGATTTAGTTGAAGTCAAAAAATTACACATTGGTCCATTATCACTTCGTACAAAAGTTATGCGTGAATTACGACAATTAAAAGATTTACGTCATGAAAATGTTAATACATTTCTTGGACTTTTTATTGATCAAAATGCACCAGCATTAATATTTGAATATGGTCATCGTGGTAGTCTTGAAGTAAGAATAGTTGGTTAATTTGTTTTTGAATGTTGTATGCTAGGATCGAGAAGTTAGAAATTCGCTCATTGGTGAGATCATAATGTGCTTTTCTCAATTTTTAAATAGTCATGAAGATGTCTGATGAGAGATCTGTTCTTTCGTGCAATAGGAGACATTCCTCTTGGAAGTTGAATGTAATCGAAGATTTAATTGATTTCTCGAAAAATTGAAATTTTAAATAGTTTTCAAGTTTTTTTTTTTTTTTGAGATGAAAATCTTAAAAGGCTAAGGTTAACATTATTTGTTAAAATCCTCAAAATCGTTTTGGTGATTTGCAAAAAAACCTTTTTAATGAATCACAATAAAAAGCTCTGCATGAAAATTTTGTATTCTTGACCATGGTAGAAGATTCGAAATCTTCGATTACCGAAAGAGAGATTTTCTCGTTGGTTTTCATATAAGCAAAATGTTTTTCGGCAACGCCCATTTTTTTAGTATCGTTCTCGCTCTCGAAGTCTTCATGGAAATTCCTGTGAGAAACAGGACGAGAAAAAATTGTTCCTGCAGAACACTACTTGACATCCATATGTGTTTGACTATTTTCTTCTCTAAAAGATTTCATCAAAGTTAGATAGTCTTCCCGATTAATTTTATATAGATTAGTCAACATCGTTGTTTGTTTATTTTTTTTTTGGTAAATACAATGGAAAATAATAACATAAATAATTAAAAAGAAAAACTTAATTTTTTATATTTGAATTGACATTTACTTTGTAGGATATTCTCAAGAAAGAAGAAATAAAACTTGATTGGAATTTTAAATGGTCAATGCTTAATGATCTTGTTCGAGTATGATTATTTCTTTTTGCAAAGCAAACTAAAAAAAAAAAAGAATCTTTTTCTTTTTGTTTAAGGGTATGAGATATTTGACAAATTCACCTATACGTTGTCATGGAAATTTAAAATCAAGAAATTGTATTGTTGATTCACGTTGGGTATTAAAAGTAACAGATTATCATTTAAATGAAATGTATACTTTACAAAATGCTCCAAGACAAGTTGAAATAGTTGGTTTGTATAAATAGAGACAAAACAACATAAAATAATAAATTTCAAATATTTTTAGATCTTTTATGGATGTCACCTGAACATATTCGTACAGCAATCATTAAAAATGATGTTGCTACAGTAATGACAAGTTCAGCAGCTGGTGATGTTTATAGTTTTGGTATTATTATGCAAGAAGTTATTCTTCGTGGACCACCATTTTGTATGCTTGATCTTACCCCACAAGGTTTTTATTCTTACTAATAACAATGATTATTTTATTTTATCTTTTTTTTTTTTATATAGAAATTATTGCTAAAATAAAAAAACCACCACCACTATTACGACCATCTGTATCGAAACAAACCGCACCACCTGAATATATTAATTCAATGAAACAATGTTGGGCTGAACAAGCCGAAACACGACCATCATTTAATGACCTTGCTCAATCAATTAAATCACTTAATGGTGGAAAGTAAGAATTTATAGCAGAGATGTTCATGGTGGTACTGCCACTGCCGTGACAGTGGCAAATTTCCAGTTGCAATGAAAATTTATAGATAGAAAGAATAGTAACAAGCGGTGCAAAAGTTCTATATTAATTTTTTTTCAATATAGCGCGACAATAACTCATCACGGAGACTTGTTAGAAAGAGCAAAGTCTTTATCAGGCTCAAAATCGAGCCATTTTTTTATGGCCCGGCCTGGATCCGAAAAAAAACTTCGTTTACAAAGATTTTTTTTCTCAATAGACAGCTATTTCATATTTTTCGGCTTTTATAAAAACTGATGATCAAGGAGAGGGGTAGAGTGGAAAAGTTTCCCCTATCCCCTCAGGGGTGGGCCAAATCTCAGAAAAAAATTATGTCAAAAAAGAATAAAATCAACGGGCCGGACGAACCACCTTTTCTGTAGAGTCGTTCTGTCTGGCCCGACAAAATATTTCGTTGGGCCAGGCCAGATGGCCCGTTTCAAGGCCTGGTCTTTGTTACAAAGCTGTGTAAAAGTATTTCCTGAAGACGGAAAAGTTTTCTGCACGCTTCTGGAATTTACAAGGCAACTTCCATCCACTAAGTTCATCTTATTTTCTGTCTTTTTGTACCACTACCATAGAACATCGTAAACAGGTAAAAGGAAAATTTTAAAGTTATTGGTTGAGTTCGATATTGACATTTTATCTAACGTCCTTTGCGCTAATGAAGTTTTCACAATGAAAAATAAGGTCTTTTCCAACAATCAAAATTATAGTGAAACCTTAAGTTTGGTGAGCCATCTAGAAAAACATATTATATTACGGACCGCTCAGCCAGATGGCCCGATCGAGTCCAACGAAATATTTTGTCGTACCGGACGGGTCTAAACAATGTTCGGGCCGCTTTGGGCCGGGTAGAACCATAAAAAGTAGTCCGATTTCAAGGCCTGTTATACTAGACATTATGAGAGAAACTTTATTGAACGTTGTGGAGGATACAGCTTTGTAATAGAAACTTTGCCCTTTCTAAAATGAAAAGTATCAAGTCTTTTCGATGAATTATTGTTACGCTTTAGTAAAAAGAAAATTTTCTATCATTCGTTAATATTCATATATTGAATAATGTTTTTTTTTTCATAGAAAAGTAAATATTGTTGATACAATGTTTAAAATGCTTGAACAATATTCAAATAATTTGGAAGATTTAATTAAAGAACGAACAACACAACTTGAAGAAGAAAAGAAAAAAACAGATAAATTATTATCACAAATGTTACCACCGTATGTTATTTTTATTTTAAATAATTGTCTTTCTTTTTGTTTAAATAAATGAATTAATCTATTGATTTATGTGTTTGTTTTTTCTTGCTAGGAGTGTTGCTGAGAGTCTTAAATCGGGTAAAGCTGTTGAAGCTGTATGGTATGAATGTGTAACAATTTATTTTTCTGATATTGTGGGATTTACAACAATATCAGCATTGAGTAGTCCAATGGAAGTTATTGATTTACTCAATGATTTATATACAATGTTTGATTCAATTCTAGAAGATTTTGATTGTTATAAGGTGAGAAAGAGTTATGAGGAAGTTGATGCTGTTGGTTTTTTTTTTGTTCGCACAATATTATAATTATATTAACCTTTTGTTCCATTTTCAATGAACAAATAATGCAAAAGTACTTCTTTTCATGAGAATCTCAAATTGTCGGTAATTGATTTGAAGATTTTCATTTGAACAGGAACTTAGTGAAATGAATAATTTTTAAAAACATCAATGCTCATTTTCTAACGTCAAAAATATCCAATAATGAAATGATTTCAAAAAAAAGTTTCTTTACATACCAAAACACAACTGAATTTTAATTAAAAAACCTTAACATTGAATAATAAATATGATACGAGTTTATAAGTATGGAAGTTCGTGATAACATCAAATCATATGATCAATCGATTTATTATTGTTTTTTTCTAACACTAAAGCTAAACGAACTTGCAGAATTTCTTTCTTTTTATTAAACATTTTCCTAATCCAATTATTTATCTATGAAACTAAATTAATCTTGTTCATCATTAAGCTTGTTAAAGATAATTCCAATCCTTTATATATTAAAAACAATTACAAAATAACTTAAGCATTTTGTATAGTTTAAGATTTATTTTTAAGGTTGAAACTATTGGTGATGCATATATGGTTGTTAGTGGTCTACCAATTGAAAATGGTAAGAAACATGCTTCAGAAATAGCTATCATGGCATTAACATTATTACATGCTTGTGGTAAATTTAAAATTCGTCATATGCCTGGTGTACCATTACAATTACGTATTGGATTACATTCGGGTGCATGTGTTGCTGGTGTTGTTGGTCTTAAAATGCCTCGATATGTAAGATTAAACAAAAAAAGAACACTTTTGTTTTAATTAGATGATTTTCTTTTCTTTTTAGTGTCTGTTTGGTGATACAGTTAATACAGCTTCTCGAATGGAATCAACTGGCATGGGTATGTAGAAAAAAAAAAAATATATATATAGTTGATTGAAATCTTTTTATGGATAATTTTTCGTCATTTAGCTTATCGTATTCATTCAAGTGAAACAACTGCTGGATTATTAGAAGAAATTGGTGGTTTTCAGTTAGAATATCGTGGAGTTACAGAAATTAAAGTAAAAATTCATTATAAACAATACATATATATATATACATATGCATCGATTTTTTTTAATTTAAGGGTCGAGGTAATTATAAAACTTATTGGCTTACAGGAAAAGATGGTTTTGATAAAGAATTACCACCACCGGTTATATCTGAAAATAATCATGGGTATGAAAATAAAGGCGACTATAAGATTTTTCATTCTACAGAATGGGATATATGTAAGATTCTAGAGAAAGACTTTCTCTATTAAAGAAGTCAAAGATCTTTCGTCATAATCCAGTATGTTATTGTTTATGATAATGAGCAAGATTGTACAATAGATCGAATATTTGATTCCGACTCATTTTCGCTAGCATCCTTAGCTTTTTTTTTTTCAGTATTTGCTCTACGATCATCAATTTTCAACAGTATTGATTTCACAAAATCGCTAAAATATAGTTCTAATACATTCTGTATATTCTTGTCTGTAGACAAAGATCATCGAAAAACTTATAGTCGCCTTTGTATTATAAAAACAAAACTTATTTGATTTTTCTAGTCTTGACAAAGAATTAGTTAAATTAGCTGAAAAAAATGCACGTGAACGGGAAAAACGTGAACGGGAAAAACGTGAACGAGAACCTCAAGAAAAACAAGCACCACCACCACCAAAAACAACAACAACAACAACAACAACATTACCAGTCAATAATCATATACAAGTTCAACCAACTATTGAAACTATTGCTTCAGATCAAAAACCAAAAAAAACTAGAAATTCTTATGTTACAATGACTAATAATATTAATCATGATATGAATAAAATAGAAGATTTATTAAGGTTAAATTATTTGAAGTATTAAAACACAAAAAAAAATTATCTTTTTTTTTTTTAGATTTACACCACCACCTGATGCACCATCATCATTAACATCAAATTCAACAAATAAACATCCATCACCTAATGAACTTCCAGCTAAATTACAACAAATGGATGGACCTAGTGGACCTGTAAGAAAGTCAACGAAAGCAAAATGGTAATTTTTATCTCATTAAAATTTATTTTCTCTTTTTATGTTCATCTGTTCGTATTCTATTTTCATTGTCGTTTCAAATATTTTCCGAGTGATTGTTAATTTCTATGTACCGGTTTTATGGATTTTTTTTCTGTTTCTGAGACTCAGTCATACATATGCAGTGAATGTATCTATTTTTTTTTCGTATTTATTTGTCAAAAGAAAAAAAGAATATAAGACATAAAATTGATGTTTTTTTTTAAAGATGGTTTCCATTAGAGACGTTTATCGTATCTAAAAAGCAAAGCAAAAGCGATGTGACAGTACGGAAATAACGGTGGAGACGATCACTACTACTAAAGCCTTGCTGATGGACGCTGTGATTGCATCTAACGGCAACTGGAGATTTTATCGTTCAATATAGCATTAAAAAGAGCACGATAAACTGCATACGGCATTTAATTTGAAGAGATATTTCATACAGAAAAATTGTGTTGGTCATCATTTATATATACTACAATCATAGATATAACGGGGTGACCGAGAATAAATGGTCGCGTTTTGCAATCATCTGATACGTTTTTATTAAAAAAACAAAATATACCATGAGATGCAGCATGAAAAGCTCTATAATTTATGTAAGACCGCTTGTTTTATAGTTACACTTTTTGTTTTCAAAATGGACAAAATTTTGACCGTGTGAAAATTGCTTACACAAAATTTTACTTTTTTTTGAAAACAATTACAATGAGCTTTACTGTGTAAATTGTAGAAATTTTCATGCTGCATCTTGTGGTATGTTTATTTTTTTTTTAATACAACGTGTTTAGAGGTAAAAGAAATAAACACAAAGTGCGGTCATTTATTCTGGATCACTCGCCGGTTTTTTTTTCACGAACTTTTGTAACATCTATCGTACCAAAAACAAAAAAGATTCTTTTGTTAATCATGAGTACATTATTATTCTTTCTTTAACCATCTATGAATATGAACTAACAAATTTTCATACAAAAAGAAAAATTATTTCACTTCCAAATCTACTGAAGTCATCTAGTTTTTAAATTATCTATTTTCTTTATTCATAATAAAATTCATTCGATTAACTAAAATATAAGATTCTAAGGCAATATTTTCAAATAGCTCTTTCTCAACATGACCTTCACACTACCTATTGATCAATTGTTTTATTTTCGCTTGTTTGAATTATAATAAATTAGATTCATTATTCTTATTGCATGATATATACAGTCATCATAGAATATTATAATTCATTCTGACATAATAATGATCAAAAATAATTCTCTGATCTTCTTCTTCTCATTCTCGAAGTTCATTTTTTATGGATCTTTAATTCAAAATAAAACTTTCACATATTGACAATTATATTTAAAAACACAAAAAAAAAGAACACACAGAAAATTAATTATTTTATGTTTCTATTTCTTAATAAAAAATCAAACATTTATTAAACACTTCTATATAGATATATATATGTACATATTTTTTTCTCATGAGAAAATCTAATGATTAGAAATACAAAGAACAAAACAACGCCTTGTAGTCTGACACCTTTTTGAATATTAGATAAACTGATTTCCCAATAGAAACATTTATATAAGGTGTAAATGTGAAAAAAAACACAAATATATATATATAAGTATTATTTAGACAAGAAAAAAAGAAGAAAATGTAGTCTCATGAGATTGAAGAAAAAAAAACAACTAGATGAGGATAGATTACTTTGTCACATTTGTTCGTTTTCTTTTTTTCTTCTCGGATTTTGAACATAGAATGATTTTATTATTTATTTTACAATTTTATTTTTTTTTAATATTAGTACAATCAAGTAACAAGAAAAAAACAAACAATTTATTATTTTTAATTGATAGTTTTCTTTTTTTTTTTTAAATATAAATAGAATTCTATGAAACAGATCGAAAAAATTCAAATGATTTTTTAAAAACAAAAATTTCTTTTGAAAATATATATGAACAATCAAAAGAAATAATTGAAACACAACGTGAAGTAAATAATATAATTTTTCTTTCTAATTTTTATTTATATTTTTATTTTTAGTCATGTCTTGATGAATATCAACAACAACATACATTCTATCGACGTCATCAAAAATTATCTTCATCTTGTCAACAATATTGTACAGAAACAATGGATTGTCAACAAGAAAATGGTAATATTAAAAAGATAAAAAAAAAAAAAAGAACAAAAAAATGATTAGGAAAATTTTTAGAACAATCAGCTTGTATAAATCCATCATGGCCATCAAGAACATTAAAATTTGTAAAAAAATTTCGACGTATTTGTTATATAAGAATTACAGAAATTTTACGATATGAACTAGCTGAACAATTGTGTCAACGATATGGACTTCAATTAGCTATCATTGATAATATTCCGTTACTTGAATATTTAAAACAAACGAATATGTGTAAGATATAATTCATATTTTGAATATTAATTAACTTATAAGATTATTTAGTTAATACAACATGTAAAGGTCCATGTCCAGAAACAAGAGGTTACTATATTGGATTAAGACGATATATAGATGAAAATGGTCCATCATTATCGAAATGGATTTGGTCGAATAATGTAACATGGACACAAAATGAAACAGATGTAAGTTTCGATTACATCAATAAAATTCTATTGACAATATTCTAATAGAATTATTTAAGTGAAGTCATAGATTCGTTAAATTATATAATTTCAGCAATCATAGCTATAATATATTGTTCTCATATTATTCAATTGTATAATTGATCTTCATTTTTTCGCGTTTTATGATATTAACGATGCAATATATTTTTCAAAACAAGAAAAAGTTGCTTTTAACATTCTGAAAGAGGTCATCCCCTGAAAAATTGATCTTGAGCCAAGTATATTCAAATTGCATGAAATTTTTAAGATATATTGGAGCTATAGTAAAGATGCTACGATAAAATTCTTCAGCTCTATACCATAATTTTTTTAAGCTATATTCAATAAACAAGTTCATTTGGGAATCCAAAATTTTCTGTGAGCCTTTATTTTATATACTTAATTTGTTGTTCGTTTGAAAGAGCAGAATAGAACTTTTTAATGGAAGAAAAGTTCAATGTCTCGAAAAATCGCTTTTTTTCAAAGAAAAACATTTTTTTTCAAGTAGAAAATAACGGAAGTTATTTAAAATTTTTGGAAAAAAATGGTGTGTCAAAGAAAAAAATCATGTAGTTTATAAAACATCAGACCGTAAGTTATCTTTCCACGCTCAGTAAAAAAATAGTTTCAAACTTAATAAATCCTATGATCTTTTATTCACATTCAAGAGTTTTATTAATCTGATAATATGAAGTTTATGAGTTAATTCAAAATTTCTACTAATGTATAATCAGATCTATAAGAGCCTACTAAGTCTTGCTTTCTTTGTATGTGTACGTTTCCGTTCTTCGTCCTTCCTCAAGGGATACGCTCTGTGTAGATGTATTTCCGCCGTCAGCCTCACCTTCAATAAATTAATCGTACGCATAGGTGTCGGTATGTTTGTATTGCACGCGATCATGTTCTGTCACGGCTTATATCATAATATAATTGTCTTTGTAACATTATTCATGCGTTAATTAATATTTATTATCAAGAACACTTTTTTTCACCTTTGTATTTTTATAATAATAGCATTGTCCCTGCTTATATCGACCTTCATTTTTGAAATTATAATCAGATAATTCTAGTGAAAAACAATTTACTTTGAAGATGTCGATATCAGTCTTTTGGAGTAAATCGATAGATAATCTATCATTATTTGTGTTTACAAATTTTTTTTTTTCTGTATAAATCACAAAATCGTCTTAAAGACATGTTCTCTGAAGTAAATAAATTTTTATTTCGTTTTCTTTTTTTTTCGTAATAGTGTGATGATGAATATTCTGAAACATCTTTTGCTAATTCAACTTTCTTTTGTTATATGGGATCAGATGGACAAAAGGTTAGTTGTTGCTTCTTTTGTTCTTTTGCGAATATGTAAATTTTATCATTTCAATCAAAAAGAAAGTTACAGTATGGAATACTGGTGAACCAAATAATCATCGATCGAATGCATTTCAAAAAGATGAACAATGTGTGGAAATTATTGGACGTCCAGATAAAACTGGTTCATATGAACAAATAGGAAAATTAAATGATATTTCATGTATTAATCCAACATTAGGTGTTATATGTCAAATGGATGGTTCGTTTTTTGTTATTTATTTTGTAGGATGATGTTTTTTTTTGTTTTTGTTTAGATCTTAAACCAATTAACAGAACACAATTTAAATATTTTGCAAAGATTATTGGATTTAATGAAACTGAAAATGAAGAAAATGATTTATTAAATAATTTTTTATTAAATTTTAAAGATTCTTTTGTATCTAATCTAGCTTCTATGGCAGTAATGACTGATGCACTTGAAAAATTACTTGTTTTACCTTCATTTACAATTGAACAAGCACATAATGTATTAAATATTTTTGATCAACTTATTAATATTACAGAACAAATTGAAATTGAAAATTATTCATTGAAAATAATAACTAATAAGTAGTATATCTTTTTTTTTTTTTCTACTTGTTTTTAATTAATTTTATTAGTAGATTACTTCATTTTCTTGATTTATTTACAACAAAAATTCAAATTAATAATAATGAACAAATAACTTCATTTCAATATAATAATATGAATACATCTTTAATAAATATAAATTTTAATCAATGGCAACAAGATAATAAAGATAATGAATGGTTTACTATAACATCTGGTATCTTTTATCTTTAATTTGAATTCTTTTTCTTTTTTGTATATATACATATATTTATTTATTTATAAAATATTCAGATCATTATCCAAATAGTATTGTTGAACTTAATATGCGAACATTACGAACACAAATAGAATCAATTGATAATTATCGTATAATTAAAATAGTATTCTCAAATTTTAATTTATTTCCACAAATAAATCAAACAAATGGAAATAGTAATCAATTAATTG